TATTAAATATAAGTTTAAACCCCTTCCTTGGCAACTGGGACCTTTTTGCAGCTGAACCTATCCACAAAATATACTAATAATACAGGAAAAGGAGACATTAAAGGTTATCCCCAAATTTCCAAATTCTAAAGTTATTCCCCAGAAGAGGCACACTCACTAAGGATTTTCTCCACTGAGTTCCAGTGCAAGTCAGATCTGCTTCTTACACATATGAGGCGGTACAGAACTGATCTGATAATTCATTCTTGTAGTTCCCATGAAATTCAAGGAAATGGCTGCCAGAAGAAAACTCAGAAGTTGAAGGTATACACCCTGAACTTCCCATTAAACTTTACGAGCATGGACACAAAGCAAACCAAATAATATTGGCATAGAGAATTGCAACGAAAAATTCCAGTAAAGTTTCCAGTCTTGTACCTTCCCTCACCTATTGCAGTGTCCCCACCCAGAAGCAGATCTCCACACCTAGTCATCCTGTCTACATCCGTAAAATGGTTCAGGTAATAATCCCTGGACCTCAAGCCAGCTGGCATAGCACTGCTCATAACCATACGCATTTCTTTCTTGTCCCCAAGACAAGGCAGTACCCTCCAAACGCTTAGTAAGCAGTTACTGGCCTGTGCTAACCCCAAACTGTGCCCAGGCACCGCCTGCAAGAATGATAGCTGGCTCCCACTAAAACTGTGCTTGGGACCATGCTAACTAATTAGCTGCACAGCCTACTGTACGGCAATATTTATGTTAATTAAGGGCCTTATTAATACTGTTGTTACTATTACCATAATACTATGTTCCACCTCGGTGCAGAGCTGAGAACGTAACAGCATTTTGTAAAAAACTAAATGAGCCTCATAGTACCCATTCAGATAAGGATGTGGGTTTTATCCAATTTACAAACTAGGAGACTGTGAGATCAAAAGCCTATACAATTTACTTCTTTTCAATGAAAAGGTAGTGAAGAGCCAAGAATAAGGGATGGGATTCCTGATTCTTATTGCTCATATTTAGCTGCTGGACTACTATCTATGATGTTAAATTATTCATCATTTCTCACAGGGAAGGCAGGCATGCACTCACAAGAAAAGCTGTGTGCAAGAAAAAGGGTTATCGAAGCGACAAAAATATGCTGCTATAACACATTTTCATGTGTAGGTAGCAATTCTTCTCCCCTACATCCCAGGGCTGGAATCCTGCATGGGGAACACTGAACTGCTCGGTATAATGTAAAAGACAGGCCTCATTAACTCTTGGACATCTTCTCATTTCTTGGTCATAAATCCTATTACCTTGTATTACAAACTGCCATAAAACTCACAGATAAAAGATAATTTATGCTCAGTGTACAGAAGCTAATGTTTCTGTACTCCTGAGAAGCACACTACCAGAAAATGAGAAAGTATGTATGTGAAACCTTAAGCCATTCATACCGAGCATGGCTAGCATGATAAACATGGCTCTAAGGGCCTAATGCTCTTCAGCCAGGCTATATTCTAATGGTAATTGATATTACCAAAATTTCAAGCATAAAACGTATGGACTGTTGCATAAAATATCCTGCTTATGAAGAGTGATTACTCCTTATTAAGAATTCAGGCTCTCCTCCCTCCCCCCAATTCAGAAAGAAATATGATGGCTATCTCAGTACAGGGATACTTTTTCTTTCCTTTTTTTCTTCTTTTTTCTTTTTAAAATTCCAATCATCACATTAGAAAATGCTTCAGAGCAAGCATTGCCTCCCGGAATTCTTACACACTCTCCTTATTTCTGACTCCTGTCCTAATTAGTGTTGTGTGGCACACAAAAACTAACAACCCTTGGAGCTGGCAAAAATCAAAGGCAGCTCAATCTCTTATTTGCTTTTTCTCTGAAGCAATTTAAAGTCTTCGGACTTTGGCAGTGATATTAACTGTGTTAGTTATCTGCTCAAAGGAATATTTTGCTTTAGTGAAGACTAAGCAAAAGATGCATTAAATTTAGGCTGTTTGTCATTAGTTTTCCTTTCAGATGAGAGAAAATCCTTCACTGTCAACTTACAACTTCGGTAGTTACAGACTATGTTGTCATTGCTTGAGCCCTTCCACAGGTGCACCTCATTTCGTGCCTGCCTCCTTTTCTTAAATACTTGTTTAGTAATTTGACCTATATTGGAATTAATTTATCTAAACTTAGATACCTACAGTGTATACCTAGATCTCAGCCTATCATCCAGTTTCTCCATAGAGACCATGGAGACAGACATTTATGGGGTGTAATTCTTCCCAACTTTTTTCTCTTCTCCACCTCTTAGCATAGTTCATCCTTACAGGTTAGAAATTAATATAAGAGTTTAGTTCCTTGTAGTTTTCTTCACTTTCTATGCCAAAACATCTTTTCCCAATATATTTCAAAAACTCACACTGTCTGTCCATTTATTTCCCAAGAGAGGCCCCAGTACTCAAAATGCCAATTACTCAAAATGCCAATTTTATTGGCTGATGAAAAAAGGCTTTGTTTACCTGGTCCTCCTTGCTTGGTAGTCTGCAATGGATTCCAAATATGGCATTGTCCTTGCTGTCTTCCTTCTATCACCCTGAAGACTTAGCAAGTCTATAAGCCTGTTTCCCACAACACTGTGGACCTTTACAAGTGTGTTAAATATTGATATATTTCTTCTGCTGTACCCCTCTATTTCATTTTAATAATATGAAATAACTCTCTTTCAAAGAAATTACTTAATAGATTTTTGTGCTGTACTTAGATATCTACTCACACAGTCCTCCTCTTAGTGTCATCATTACTAACTAAAAATTCAGCAGCTTGACTTGTTATTCCCCTTTGTATCCTTCCTAGGTCTCTTTATGGGATTACCGGTTTCCTTGCTCTATCCAAATATTTTAGCCTCTGCCCAGGTACACACGACAGAGAACCAATACTAGTCTCCAGCTATAGTGAGCGGAGGGCTAATGTTATTTTGAAGCAAAAATATGATTACATTTTGCTCATATATTTTATCCAAAGAGTCCAATAAAGATCAGATTCTTCTTCCCCAAGAGAGAAAGGTTTCAGATCTTCATTTTATAGAAAAAGCATTACACTCTTAACTTTATCATTTGCATTAGCATTTGAATCTCAAAACCTTGCTTCATTTGTTGCACAGTTTCCAGACTTGCATTTCAAAAAGTCAGTGGGTCTCCCACTGTGTTCAACTCCCTCCTACCTTGCTTTTAAATTACAAGGGGAGAGGGGAAGAAGAGAGAATGCCATGATTGTGGCTGTTCACAAGAGAAAAATATCACGCTGAACTCTGTACATAAAAAAAGAGTACTTGCAAGTTTAGGATCCTTGTTTCTTTCTGTGTATAAACTACTCACTCGATTTTTATCTAAACTATGCAGGATTAATATTATTATCTGGAGGTACCATGAGAGTTGACTGAAGATGCTGATAGTGACAAGTTTAAACCAACAATGAAAACCAATTTTGTGTCAAAGTTAGCATTAAGATTGTTTAACTGGCCTGCCCCCTATATCTGCCCTTTATTTCTGAATGCTAGAAACAACCTGAAGTTACAGAATTCAGTTACTGACAATGCAGACTAAAAGTATTACATGCTTCTTCTATAGCATTATTAGAACATAAAGGAGTTTCCAGCAAGCCCAATTAGCAACCTCTCATTTCTATTTAAATACACAGATTATTTTTTTTTCAAGTTGCAAAGGGTTTAATTAGTCATTGAATACTCTTCTGAAAGCAACCTTAGGCATGGCATTTTAAAGCCACTTATGGAAAAGATGAATGAAAAGAATTAAAAGTCTTTCTAGTCCAGGTAAGCAAGCTAAACAGGGAATTCTCTGTCTTATTTTGGCTTTTCAATACGGTCTTAAAAAGATCCCAAAATTAATTTACAGTGGTCAGTGAAGTACTCCACCCACAGGTCAATCACAAGCGAGTTACTCCTCACTTTCAGATTTTAACCACAGTTATCCTTTAGCCCTCTTTCCCCCTCACTCTGCTGCCTCTATCCATTTAGCTATGCAACTAATGATCACAGTCATTCCTCGTCACACTGGCAAATGAGCTCCTGTGCCTACTATCTTTCCTGCAGACACAGTGCTTCAAAGCTGTTAATACAGCTTCTGCCCCTGTGGATTTAAATCTATAATCTCATAGAACCTTATTAATGCTTTTCTCAAATTACAATGAAGCATGTGTGGTGCAGGGTTTTGTCAAATTTATCTGTGAATGTTCTTTATTTTAATGAAATAAGCTTTCCAAGATAAAATGGGAAAATTAGTTAAGCTTCTAGAAACCCTGACATCAGGAAAAGATATTTCCAAACAAATAAATGAATCACTGTTAGAGAAGACTCTTTGGTGCTTGGATTTGCCTTTAATTTAAATCTTAGAAGCAGAAACCCAGCAAGACCTTTTGTGTCTGTTGTTTTATGAATCAATAAATGGAGTAACAGACCCGAAAAAACACAAAAATAACATGTCTTAAACAAATTCCCTCGTGGATGGGAGCTGGATTCCCATCATAATGAACTGCACCACTCAGACCACATAAGAGCTCTGCCTGATGTGTTTGTCAGGAACTCCCTCATATCTTCCTCTTACAACTTTCTTTTGTTTCTCTTACTGCAGACATCCTTATTGCTACTCAACATGCAAAAGGGCTGTGTGCTAAATTTAAACTTACTGGAATCTAATTAAAAAGTTTTAATTTTTTTGGTTTTTAATTTATAATCAAAATCCTCTATTTACCCAAATTCAGTTTCCATGCATTACGGAGTTCCATGTTCGTCCCCTTTTAAAAAAATCTGTCCTGAACAAACTAAACACAAGTCTGCAGGAATTCAGAGCCCATCATTTGCTGTCCAATTCCCTGCAATACATTTTATATTTAGGCTCTGACCCTGCAGAATACAATTAAGAAAATGAGCATTTAATGGTGCAAGACCTACAGGGTCAGGGTGGGTGGAAGGTCAGTTTTATTATGAAGTAAGTTTTTACAACACTTACAGGCTGAAGCAGGTAGATCAGCGAGCACTCCTGGATAACTATCACTGGGAAAGGAGTGATATTTGTTGCATGAAAAAGCGTTTCCACTGATGCCATGGTTTGGTCAAACCGTCCTCCAAGTCCGCCCAAAGTCACAATCACATCGATCTGAAAGGTAAAGAAAAAAGTCACCAAGAAAACTTTCAGGCATGATCTCTAGACCCTGAAAATCAACAATAAAATCATCTTGGGGAAAAAAAAAGGAGAATAACTACTGACTATACAAAAGCACATGTCAAATACAGTTATTTACTCCTATTACTGATAAATACCATTATGTGATTTTTGAGGCTGAGTATTAAAGCTCAGTAAATTCATGGCCAACATGTGGTACTCTTGAAAAGGACATAACCATTCTCCCTAAGACACAGGCCAGCCTTTGCAGGTACTTATCTATCTCCCCTGAATATATAGAGCCTAAGTCCAGAGGAGGGCTACAGAAATGATCTGAGGGCTGGAGCACCTCTCTTATGAGGACAGGCTGAGAGAGTTGGGCTTGTTCAGCCTGGAGAAGAGAAGGCTGCGGGGAGACCTGACTGCAGCCTTCCAGTACCTAAAGGGGGCCTATAGAAAAGACGGGGGAAATCTTTTTGGTAGGGCCAGCTGTGTCAGGACAAGGGGTAATGGATTTAAACTAAAACAGGGTAGGTTTAGACTAGATATAAGGAAGAAATTCTTTACAATGAGGGTGGTGAAACACTGGAACAGGTTGCCCAGAGAGGTAGTGGAGGCCCCGTCCCTGGAAACATTCAAGGCCAGGTTGGACGGGGCTCTGAGCAACCTGATCTAGTTAGCGGTGTCCCTGCTCACTGCAGGGGGGTTGGACTAGATGACCTTTAGGGGTCCCTTCCAACACAAAACATTCTATGATTCTATGATATATCACTCCACATCTAAGCCCCTCAGCTACGTATGGTATATCTGAGCCTTAGTATCTTTCATCCCCAGACCTTAACATCGTTTCAGTATTAACCTCACGGTTTACAGAGCAAATAAAAGAAACTTCAAGTTAGGGCCATTGCATGTCGTTCTCATTCCTCCCACGAGGCATTTTAATGTACAAGCAATCCCCCCCACTCACAGGCTGGCTCTACTCAAGATTAAAAGTACGGCTGAAGTAGGAGGTTCCACCGCAAGCGACTGGCACATCATCTCCCAGCTGTCAAGGACAGGGACAGGAATGGGAGCGCTCTCCTGTCCCAGTCCCAGACCCGCCGAGAGCACTGCTTGACTGCTTGCAATAGGCCATGGAGCCGGACTGCTGTCGCTCAATTCTCGCACACTCCATCAAGCCTCTGAACACTTTATTTCCTATAAGCAGAAAGGGAGTATTTAAAAGCCTTAGTTAAGAGCTTTTGGGTCCTCGGATAAAAGGTCACAGAGTGCAAAGTATTATTATTATTACTTCCATAATGGGGATCAGTTATGTTCAGTAATTGTACTTTAAAAAGCTACCACTCAGTAAGTCACATCTAGAGCCCTAACACAATGCAGCAGTAGAGTCTTTAGAAGCTGCCTTGACAATGGCCATCTGGTGAAGTTTCCAACTTTATAGGGCTCAATTCTATGGCCACTGTGATTACATGAAGTTTTACTCAACCCAGGAGCCACATAATGGTGCTCTGTGTATCTGGAATGATGAATTAATAGCATCAGCTTCTATTTTTATTACCAGGGCTAGGGCTTTACGATTCTGTTGAATATTGGTTTGCATGAAAATTCATCTCTTTTCCTTTTGGTCAAGAGCAATACCATCTTTCTTACCACCATCAGGAAAATATTTGAGAAGCCAGACTGGATCAATATAACACATTATATTAGCAGCAAACACTGAAACAAAAAAGCCATTCTCACACTGCAGACAGCATGTACTTTCTGTGCAGATTACAGATCACACAGACCTAACATAAAACCAATAGAATACGAATGGTAGGAAAACCTATCCTTAAAACAGGAGAGAAAACAGCAAAAGCTAATGGCTAAGCTTATGGCTAAGCCATAACACATTTTCTATTTTACTGATTCCAGTGTAGAACCAAACTGCTTTTTTTTTGACTGGTGATGACTGTGATTAAAAAAGATGGATCAGTTATCTGAAAATAATAGTACTAAATGGACCCACCTACATCAGTTCTCTACCAGTCAACTAGCGGTAAAAATGCCCCCCCAACCCCAATGGAGACCATGGGGAAAATGTGCTATATTAACCTGGAACCACAGTGACATTAAAGGTGACTTTGCAAAAGATCACTAACCCAACTATATATTGCTTTTCTTGTGAGCAACGGGACTGAAGCTTAAATACTAGCCTAGCCTTCAAAAATCTGAGCAACTACTGTGTAGTTTCTTGGTATATATGTCTCACTGATACGTGAACTTGTTTGGTTTGGCTTTGACGTTTTCTCCAGTTTAAAAGGTAAGAATGAAACAAACACAGAGTTCCCTCTGACTTGTAATTAAAATGATACAACAACATTCTGACTGTGTCTTCTTTCCCTTGTAAAACTGTCAGTATGTCAGACAAAGCCTGCTCTGTTATTCACACGTGTACTTATCGCGAAGTACAGGACCTATCTGAAACGATGAAGTGCTCACTGGCTGCATCTTTTTGTGATAGAGATTGTCAGAGTACTGCAAGTTGAAGAAAAACATAACAAATTCTGTAACTTAAAGTATGACAGAAGTGATCCCGAACTCCTACTCTTTATTCAACAGCAACAGTGCAATGATCTTGTGGATCGGTGCCCAAAAAGTAAGAAAATAAAACCCATCTAGCATGGAGAAGATCTGTTGAAAAGGCATTCATAAAACAGAGGTTTGGGGTTGTGGCGTGTTGGGAGAAGGCTAATAAAGATATCTGAAAAGGGAATGTATTTAGGATTTGCATGGATTGTGAAAATGGAAAACACAAGTATATGACAGGTATGCAAACAAACCCAGCTGGAGTATGAGAGGAGTAGGCAAAGAGAAAAGCTAAAATTCTGCACTTCTGTGATGGTTGACAGTCCTGCCTTTCACTGTCTTGTCTTGGCAGCAGTGACAGGCATCCAGACATTGTAGGACTTTTAAAGACTCAGTTTGAAGGCCTAGGTATACACACTTTGTTTATTTAACAAAAACACAGAGAGGCTAAGTCCAACAAAAACCTTAAGAGTCTTTTCATCCTAAAGCTATCACCTCTGTTGAAAAAAAACAAACCCACACCACAAAAATCACAAACTAACAAAACAGTCAGTTCTCCCCTGCAATCACTGCTCTTCTCGCTCTGCCAAGCACTTAAGAAAATGGATGTGCCATGAACGCACATACACGACTCTTGGTCATTCCAGAACTGAAGAGAAAGTGAATACCAAAGCACAGGACATTTATATATTCCCACACTACAAAGAGGGAAGGCCATTCATTTTTCTACTATGATTTCCTGTATAACACAGGCTACAAAATTATACTGTTACTGCTAATCAGCCCAGCAGGTAGCATTTGATTAACACACTGTACTTCAATTGAAATGTCTATGCTTCACTTAAATGTCCTGTCATCAGTTCCCTTACACAATTTGTTTTCACACAGCGCCATTCATTTGCTGAAAAAAGGATAAAAAGATCCTTAGATAACTACAAAGAAAAGCTTAGATCATTGCAGGCACAGTGTAGAGGGCACCGTATTCTCATAGACTATCCATAACCTGAAATAAACATATTGCACAACATCTTTAAAGGCGAGCGAGCTTTAATTTCTAAAGAGTTGAAGATCTAAGGGTGGGATTCAGTCCTCTTTAAATGATACTGTCCTACATTAGTATCTCTTGAAAGAGT